AACCGTGCGAAAACGACCATTTTGTCAAAATGGACATTTTTTATTTTTTGAACGAAATTGAAACCGAGTTTTATGTCCGAAAACTCATCAAAATTTGTTGTTCCTGAGGAACGCTGGACCCCTTGGGTGTACATGGACCTAGCTTGAAACCAGACACCTTCAGGCAGTCCTGCCTAGAGGTGCCTGGTTTCAAGCTAGGTCCATGTACAACTAGGGGGTCCGGCGTTTGTAAAACGCTGGACCCTCAGGAACAACAAATTTTGACGAGTTTTCGAACAAAAAACTCGGTTTCAATTTCGTTCAAAAAATAAAAGATGTCCATTTTGATGAAATGGCAGTTCGAACAGTGTCGAGGGCACCAGACAAATCAAACTTCGGAAATTGCTCGGCGAGACGGAACCAGGGATGCCCGGCCCGACAATTGGTCGAACCGCGCGACCATCCGCGAAGGCAAAACCAGAGAAGACAGTGATTTTCGTTTTCGGGTTCTGGAACTAAGCTCGTTGGCAGGGGTAATGTTGTTAGGATTTTGTTAGAGTATGCCAGAGTGTTTAGATCTCTCGGTACTGTGATTACGGAAGAGTACCCCGGGATCTTTAGTCAGGGATGCACTGCACATGCCATCTGCCTTATGTTGCACGACATTTGCGGCCTCTCTTCTATGCACACACCACGAGAAGTGGTCTACCTTCATCCTTATAAAAATGAAAGTGCCGAGTACGACCTGCACATACCTTCTTACACTTTTATCCCCGAAACTTGCAACAAGAGATCTCAGTTCACAGCACCGGTAGGGGGTTATCTACGAAGAGAAAGGGCATACACACGCACACACACACACACACACACAGACACATACACACACACAATGAGAGTGAGCGAGCGCGCGCGCGCGCGCGCGCGCGCGCGAGAGAGAGAGAGAGAGAGAGAGAGAGAGAGAGAGAGAGATAGATAGATAGAGAGAGAGAGAGAGAGAGAGAGAAAGAAAGAGAGAGATCCGGAGCAAACACGGTCACGATACGACGTCTGTGCTTCCGCATTACGTGAAAGCATGTGCTTGCAACTTGAAATGTGGACTGCGCTGAGCTTGTCCATCTTTTTGTGCACGTTACTGTATTTGTGCGGGGTTGCTGGTTTGCGGTCTGGGTATTTTGAGTCACATGAGAAGCACTGAATGAACAAAAATGATAGGAAAACAAGCTTGGGTGTTCTGCTCTTCGCACAAGGAACTGTGCCATGACTGCCTTAGGGTTGCATTGTCACCTTAAAGGTTTGTGACGCTCAACCCCACGCGCTGTGTTGTTTTCCGATTGGAGTATTTTGGTTTGCGGAAAGGCTCAGGAAGAACAACAAAGATAAGGTGTGCCAAGGATTTTTAGGAAAATTGAGTGTGGGGGCACAGACAGAACTGAGATCCCCTGTCTTGGTCCGACTTTAGTAAGAAAGGATCTGTTGCCGCACGGGTTGAAGAAAAAGGCGTGCGCGGGGAATCCAAAAAGTGGAGTTGTACTTCCTAGCGGGCCATTGCCCTTCGTTTCGAATTAAAGGGGGATGGTACACATGTAGTATCCCGTTTTCGGATGAGGTCCCGTCGACGTTCACTACACAACTATGAGTCCAACGTGGAGGGTCTCAATCGAGTGACTCTCTCCTAGTGTTCATCCTCGCCACGTGTGCGGTAATGGAAGCCCTTGGCTTTGTAACGCTCGGTGCGGCGATAGTCGCTGCACATAGTGCTAGGCCAATGAGGCGCTACTGCTGATCAGGGGATGACGATCAACTCGTTAAACGACAACAACAACGAATAAGGCGGAAAGTGCGTATCGATGATGATGAATACCGCACCGTCGAATCCGGAGCACTGGGTCTCGGGTGGGAAGTAATAACGCCCGCCGACCTCGGCGACGACTTCTCGTACGTCCCACTCAGATACACGTGTCCTCTCCTCGTTGTACGGGAAGGGGCGAGGTGGGGGCACATGAAGTCAGCACCCAGTCGGATTGGGGCTGTCAGTCCACATGGAAACAAGGGCAGAGCGCACGATTAATCATACATCATTCATTCAACACCTAATTCAATCCCATTTCATCTCATCAATCAATCAATATCCCTGTCATGCTGACATAGGTTCTCGGACACAATCCACTTCATGCATATATCAAGTGAGAGGAGAAAAATCAACATAACCCACTAATTATAGTATACACGTAGCAGAACGAAGGTGTGGGGGAGAAGAGGTGTAGATCAGAGGAGGGGAGAAAGCAGAAGATAATTACACAAGAAAGTCCGACGATCTTGACGAGAAATTTTGGCTCAAATGTCGGGTGAACGGAATTCACGCTCAAAAACTTATACCTTGAGACAAAAGAGGCGCATCCACCATAAAATTCCACCATGGCCCCAGACCATACACCCACTCAACCTTCGATCCGAACCTCACACCGGCACCAACGATCCCAGCCGTCGCGCGCTACTCCCACTATAGCGATCGTCATCCCGCCGACTTAGTCTCTGCACGGTCTTGCCCGCATCTCAAGGTCCGTCGGGCAGTCCGGCGCACAACCGAGAAGACTACAGTCAACCCGTCAGGACTTTTCGACTTGCACCTTCACACGTACCACCTAACCACTGCCTCCCATAAGCTGGCTGGTGAGTTGAGAGATAACTTTTCGGTAGCGATTGTGGAATTTATAGTTGCGGAAAAGGAGGTAGATGCCAGGAAGGGTTAGGACTGAGGTAGGGAGAGGTAGGGGAAGGTTCGGGGATAATCGCCCGACGAAAGCCATGTCGATCCTTCGAATCCCAGTTGTAGCCAATCATTATCACCGCGTAACAGAAATTTCCTTCTTACACGGCGCTTGTCTTTGGCTAGAGGGGAGGAGGCGGAAATCGACAGGGTATTCCGACGCAAGGATTAGAGCGGGAAGGAGAAGGGCGCGAAGGATAGCGCGATACTGAATTAAAATTCAGACGATGAAGGGAAAAAAAAGGCGTACGAGGCAAGGCAGAGATGGAAAACGGCTACAAAGAGAGAAGGGACGTGAGCGCGAAGAAGAGAGTGTCGAAGGTAGCGAGGGAAATGGAGAGAGAGGGGGGGGTTGTACCGACACGAAAGCAAAAAAAGGGGCACCGAAACAGTTACAGCTCATTCATAATCCTACGCTAATTCAAAATTGAAAAACATCAGGTGTGTGCGTTGAGTGAACGCGGGAAAAAAAATCCTACGCCTATTCAGATTCACACAAGAATCCCCATAAATGGCGCAGGTCGGGAAGCTGGCGCGTTACATATGTGACGCTTAGGGCGTTCCAAAATTATGTGATCTCCTGATTGCATGCATGAAAACTAGTTTACATGGTGGAGGGGGAAGAAAGGGGGCGAGGGGATGAAGAGGAACCGAGCCTATCAAGATGAACAAAATCTTGTATTAGCACTAGATCGGGCCAGAGTCCATGTTGACGCCAACTTCAATTTCATTGTCTTCGCGAATCTGCTGGCTCGTTCTTTCAGGGTCTACCATCCAGCCCTGTCATGTGCAACTCCCTGCCTCTTTGATTGGCGGAGGTCGTCCAGGTGACACCATCATGGTCGGCCGATCTTGCCTGCTCCTGCTCAATCACTGAAAGTCCGCTCGGCGGTAACCGACGTGGAGAGGGTTGTGGAGTGGTCTAGGCCATTCAGCTGCGAGTGAAGGGAAGTAGTCGGATGCTTCGTCACTGAGATCGACAAACTGGACGATTCGGTGCACTTGAGGGAATCGATGGTTGGGTCGGGAGAGGGAGAGGAGGTAGTCTGGAGACAGGGTAGGAATAGTGTGGTGTGAGGTGAAATTGAGAGAAGAACATAGCTTGGCCCAGCTATGGGCGCGAGATTCCCGTTACACGGGGCACCTACGCACAATGCTGGAAGCGCGAGCCAAAATGAAAACGAAACGGTGCCGGGGCGGCTCGGCAAAACTTGGCGCACAGGGGCTATCCCGGCTCCGCATCAATAGCTGGGCCAAGTACTGGTGGTTAAAAAAAAGAAAAAGGAAAAAAGGTACCAGACGTGGGATCCCTAGTTTTCACGTTTTTGGTTTTCTGGACCATTCCGTCTGCACAGGGACCACGCTGAAGAGCCCTCTCGATTGACCTTTCCATCAATTAGGGGCCCCCACGGCTCACCAAACGCTCCAGATGAGAACGAATCTTTCGCGGCAGCGCGGAAAGATTCAGTGTGGATTTGGTGAGTGGAGTGAGTAGGGGCGCTCCTGAAATTTTCTGCTTATAATGCGAAAATTATGCGCGGAAGTTCCCGGAACACAACACACCCTGATAATGAATGCATACCAGCTATCTTTCCCGTCCGGTACAGGCATTATCAGGGTGCGTTCACTGCGTTGTGCTCGGCGGAAGCGGGGAATATCCCGACCCAAAGTCTGGTTCCGCGGGGCCATCTCTCCACCCCTCGTTCAGCTCGCTCCCCCCGCTCCTTTTCTTCCAATGGCAAGAGGTGTCTTCCGGCTACTCGTAGGGCGACAAGCAACGGACGCAACAGGCGGTCCCTTAAAAAAACTCATATAGCTAGCTGGTCGTGGGGAGTACGCAGTTCATCGACAGCTCCGGCCTCTGGGCGCATTTGCGACGTCCATCGCCGAGTTCCTCTGAGAACTTCCAATTCTGTGCACATTGGCGGTGTCCATCGCTGAGTTACTCTAAGAATATCAGTTGGCGCCGGGGTTTTCTCGTGGACTGTGCTGCGCTGGCAGGCCATTGCAGGAGAGGGGCATCTTGGCATTCCTCCGTTCGATCAGATGAGACGTCAAGTGGTGTGCCTACGATTGTCCTAAGGAGGGCGGTGCCAGGTCTTGGGAGGCAGAAGCACTCGACAACGGCTGACTTGTAGGTTAAGGAAGGGATGTGCTGGCCGTTTCTAATTAGTCGACGAGCTCCAGGCTTGCAGGTCGACGGCTGCACATCGTGACGGTCCTGGTGCCGGAAGCTCTCCTGTAGGGGCTCCTGCAGGTATCGGGCTCCCGCTGCTTGCTCTAGTTGTGTACAGCCCAAGGCCTTGGAGCACCTAAGTGAGGCGAGGACGAGGACAATGGGGTCGAGCAGGCTTTTGCTAGTAGAGGCCATCGCCGTCTTGGCCCTGGTTTGCTTCCACGTCGGCGGAGCGAGGGGTTTTAGCATTGGCAGCATTTGCAATCCGCTCCTGTCGGCTCGGGGCCCGTGGATAAGTGGTCATTCCACCTTCTACGATGACCATGGTCGCGGCGGAGCTTGTGGATATGGGGCACTCGGAAGTCAGCTGTATGGGACCCGATTTGCTGCGGGTTCGCCGAGAGTGTACTTGGGAGGATTGGCGTGCGGAATGTGCTTGGAGGTCCGATGTGTCGGCAGCAGAGCCTGCAGACGCTCTAGCGTCCGTCTCACGATCACCGACTTGTGCCCCCCTGGCTACCCCAACACGCAATGGTGCGGTGGAGGAAAGGTGAGATTCTGAAGCTCTTCTTCCGAATCGTGTGCGTACAAGTAATAAGCTGTACGTATCACCCATCCACCATCTAATGAATGAACAATTAACGACTTTCTCTGCCCGTCTGTCTATTGCAACCCTTAGCCAGCAATGCCACCTCTCATCTCGTCTCTCTCTCTCAGCTATCGGTATTTCTTTTTGTAAGTATTATGTTTCCGGTTTTTTTTCTGTTCTTTAGTAATTTTGAGATCGAACCCTCATGGTAGCTGGATGCCCTGTCTTGTGTTGTGAGGAGGGTGTTATTTAGGCTTCCTTCACTTTCAGATTGACATCGCTTGCGTCTGTGGGTGATGGACGATGATTTGTGTATGCACGAGTTTTTTCTTGCTCGTCGAACGTTTGTGCGAACAGTCTTCTGTACCTCTCGGGGATGACGAGCGCTCACGTTGAAGTGAAACTGTGGTTGGGATGGGGAGGTTCTCCTTGGTCTTGTAATCGCTGTCTCACCCAGAATCCTGGTCTTGCGCAATGTTTTCTTGTTTTCCGTTTTTGTAATTGAATGCGAAAAACGAAAAGGTGGCTGTCTGACCCTCTCTGTGTTAACCTTGGCTCTCCTTGCAGCTTCACTTGGACATCGGCAAAGACGCTTTCCCCATCATCGCGGACCCGAGGGCGGGACACGTTCCGATCCAATTCCGCAGCGTGCCTTGCGCACCCTACAAGGTCCTGAAGCTGAATCTGAGAGGCCACAGGTGGTGGCTCGAGGTCACGGTGCTGGCCATTCCCGGGAGCGGAAGAGTATTGAAGATGGAGGTTGCCGGGAAAGGCGGTCGCTGGGTGAGCCTGAAGCGCGCATTTGGAGCTGCTTGGTCCACTGCAGGGTCGACTCTACAGACGCCTATCTCAGTCCGTATTTCCATATTCGGAAAGTTTTGCAAGCTCATTGCCAAGGACTGCATCAAGGGACAGATCTATAACGGAAGGCAGCTTAGCTGCGCATACACCGTCGGATACTGAGAAACACCGCCCCGGCTGGCCTCCGCTGCCTGGTTTTCTCCCTCATCACCTGCGATTCGTTCATTTCACTTTTCGGTTTTAGTCTTTTCTATGTGTGCTCACAAATAACCGCACGTGGTAAGCGAGAATAGTGTGGCTTCCATATAGTCGAGGTTGGTTTCCTTGGTCGAGGCTCTGGATTGCCTCTAGTTAGCTGGTGAGAGGGATGAGGTGCTGCTAGGGCAGGAGCAGAGGATTGCCTGCCGGAGGTCTACCTATGGAGGCATGATTTAAACGAGGAACTGTATTCTTGTAGCAAAAGTGGAATTGTGTTTTTGACACTGCTTGTAGAAAAAGGTTCTAAGGTTAGCGAGGGAGTAAAGCATCCATGTTAGTGATAGCGACAACCCTTAGGCATGCTGTGGAAGGCATACTAGGCCCACCAAGTCATCGCCCACGGGTTGTAAATTGACGCAGTCGCTTGGTGTGATGCATCACGGATGAAAGGTTATAGGGGAAAGTGTGACATTGTCGGACTTGTTTCATGTTGATAGACTTGAGGGTTCAATGTCGTCGTCCATCCCAGGCGTGCTGTGGATCCGGGGTATGTTATGTCCCATTGATGGACCAATGTCCAATAGTGAGTGGAGATCGAAATGGGAGTCGAGGGTGTGCTGCCGGCAGCTTGACAGATAAGGGCTACACACCATGACGGTGCTCCTCAGGGCATGAGAAGCCGGTTGCCGGCGAACAGGCGGGAATTCGCTATGGAAGCGATGGGGATAGGGAGGAGGCGAGATAACCCAGTGGCGCGTTTGAGAGTTGCCCACGCAGGCCGGTGAAATATGACGATCGATTCGGATTCGATCCAAGCTATAGATCTCCAAATCACACTCTGCGTCGTCTGCGATGGAAGAGAAAAAAGTCCGAGCCATTGTTGCGAAAGGGATGTCATGTAATCGTCTGCAATGGCTGAGGTCGCTGAGAAGAGGTGCGCGTGATTGTTGCAAAAGAGATCTCTCTGGGTGGGCTGTGATTGTGGATGTCGAACTGTAGCCCTGCATAAATGAAGAGATCAGCCTATACCTCGACCGGGACTAGTTAGGAGCATCAAGCATGCACACAGCAGATGTACATTAGCATAGATAGAATCATTTAGAATGTGCTGTGTGCGTGTGGAGGAGGGCACTCGGGGTACTGTAATTTTTCACTTGCTCTTTTGGTAGTAACCGCTCTTAGCCACGTCTGCCAATTGCGGGCACTGCCAGACCTCGATTTTGTTAGCCGGTTCGCGGTGTGAATTTTTAGCAGTAGCGGGTGAGTAACCGTAGACTCGCTTTCCGGTCAAGG